GAGAGAGAGAGAGAGAGAGAGAGAGAGAGAGAGAGAGAGAGAGCACACACACACACACACACACACACACACACACACACACACATGGAAGTTGCGCGACGCCAGCACACACACACACACATGGAAGTTGCGCAACATACCGGGCAACGGGTAAGTCTCCAAGGCCGCGGCTGCCGTCGTGCAACTTCCGTGTGTGTGTGTGTGTGTGTGTGTGTGTGTGTGTGTGTGTGTGTGTGTGTGTGTCCGCTCATGCGCGTGGTGGGTGGCGGTGGGGTGGGGCGACCCCTCCCCCATCAATCAATCAATCAATCAATTAATCAATCAATCAATCAATCGCTGGGTGGGGCGACCCCTCCCCCACCAATCAATCAATCAATCAAACGATCAATCAATCAAAAAAAAAAAAAAAAAAAAAAAAAAAAATCAAAGAAATCAATCAATCAATCAATCAATGAAAGGCGGGGTGGGCGACCCCGCCCCCACCAATCAATCAATCAAAAACGCGTTTTTTTTTCAATTACCTTCGTTCTCAGCCTTCCGCCCCCCAAACCAAAAATTTGTTTTTTTTCTTTTTTTTTTGCTTGAGGGGGTGGGGCTGGGGTTGCGCCGAGACATGGCGTTTTCCGAGTCCCCAACCACCCTCCCCACAGGCCGCCACGTTATAACTTTTAGGTGACCATTTGGTCTTTGGTAGTACCGGGTTTCGGACTGGTTTTTCGTACCATTTTTCGTTCCTTTTTTCGACAGTCTGGAGAGAGTCTTCGGATTGTAGTTGAGACCGGACACGTTTGGATTGTTGTTTTTTGTTTTTGATTTTGATTTTTTGAATTTCCTTGACACTCAGTATTTAGTCTGATAGTGTGAAGTAGTCGGTCTTCTTGTCCGATGGGACTTTGCTGCAGCCCGAGATGACAGCTTCAGCAGTAGTCGTTCGACGACGACTTCAGCAGTAGTCGTTCCTTTTTTGGGGCGTGAGCTTCCGTTGGCATCTTTTGTCATTGACGCTGCCTATCGTCGGTATCTTCTGGGTTTTGACATTGACATAGTGAGCAGCCACATGCTACCATATCCTCCTTTTGAGAAGAGTCCACGTTGGCTTGTTTTTTTATAATAATGTTGTGACGAGTTTACAACGTGTAATTCCTTGCTTTGCACTCAGTTTTCCTCTTTGCTTCTGTATGGAAGAGTGTTGTTGCGTTTGCAATACCCGCTTGCATTCCTGCACTTATTGTCGTAACCTGCTAGGAGATGATACTTGGAGAAGGTGGCGATTAAAATAGGGATGCAATTTACGTTTGTCGACTGTATAAGTGGAACTTCAAAATTGTCAATGACGAGGAGAGTTACTTCGATGTTTTTGGTGCAAGATGAGTGAAAGGAATGAAGGACAGCAAGAAGGATCGGCGAGATCGATGGAGGGAAGAAAGTGTTATAAGTGTGGGGAAGCGGGACACTTTATTCGTGAATGTGCTGATTATTGGATGGCGAAAGCGAGAGGGGTACCGTTCGTATCGAACTCCTATGGTGCTCCGGGAGGTAGAACGGGAAGAATAACGTCGCAGACAGCACCTTCCAATTAAGTAGTGAGGCGCAGTACATCAGCTGACAGTAGTGTCAGTACGAATGATATTGAAGAGACGAATTCACTAATACGTGAATATTTTGCAGAAATGGCGCGGGAAAGGAAGGTGAGAAGGGAGCGTGAAGAGTTGGACGAAAGGAATAGAAAGAACAAGAGACAAGGCTGGCTAAAGAAGGCAGGAGGTTGCTTCGTGAAGAAGAAAGGCAACAACGGGAAGCTGACCGGGACGCGCGACTCCTAAGGATCATTAAAGACGAAATGTTGAAGGATGCTGGAGGAGGCAGTGCAGTTCCAGCTCCTAGAGGAAAACAGATTGCCAAGTTGAATGAATACGATGAAACAGCAGAGAAAGAGAAGGAACGTTTGTGGTGGACCATTTCGAAGCATGAGCAGGAAGATATTGAGGCGGAAGACGAAGAGCTCAGAGTACTGAGGTTTCGGGCTTCCAAGTTGAAAATTAAGGAAAAGAGAAAGCGCGATCCTGATTTGTCGATTGGCAATAGCCCTCCTATGACGACATATGAAAAGATAACTAACCTTAGATTGTCGGAGGGTGCGAAGCGTAGGATCGAAAAATTGAAGACGATCCAAAAGCAGGAAGTTGGAACATCGAGCATTCCGCGTAAGATTGATTTTACGTTCAAACATATCTCGACTTCATATGGAGTCGGAGGAAAGGAGAAGTATGAAGAGGAGTGCAGGGATTTCTACGACGCCTTGACCATCGATGAGATCAAGGAAGTCTGTCGAATGAAAAAAATTACGTACGACAATCGTGAGATTGCTATCAAGCGATTGGTGATTCGGAAATCAGCGGTGGCCTACGATCCTGCCAATCTTTCGTTACCATGTACCCCGACGACTAGGGCGAGAAGCATACGGCAAGCCGCGAAACAAAAGAAGGAGGCTAATACTCCTTCCGATGATACTTACTCGGATACTGACGAGTCTTCAGGGTGAAGAAAGTGGGATAATGATATCGACTCGCAAGAAGCCCGAAAGTGCATTGAGCT